ATGCAACAATCGTCATTCTATAAATCGTTAAGTAGACAAAACATATGACTTTGTTACCACAATCATATCATCATTTAATATTCACTGAATATTTCATCATTACTTTGGTGTTCACGTGAAAAATTATGTAATACGACACAAACAACTACTATAGTGAATGTTTTTGTAAAAGATAAAAGTTTGGGGTAAAATTTCAATTTTCAAAAGATCCCAAATAATGAGATTTGGCCCAAATACTAGAAAAAACTAGTATTTGGGAATTTGGGATATTTGTCAAATAATGACAAATTATATGGACAAACACTATTTGCCAAATTTTTTCCCAAATATTATTTGGAAAATCTATGGCCAAATTAGTATAGCTCGCAGACGAGTACATTAATAAAAACTTGAACTAAATAGACAAAGATGGAAAGATCAAAGTTTTGTTATTATAAAGTCTCCGATAAAAAGAATGATCGTTAATCCGCGCGATTGGAAACAATGGTATCTTTGTGGGCCCAATTGTAATATAATTGGAGCTAAACTACACAACTTGAGAAGACCGCTATAAGTTGACCAAATCAACTGCCATGAAGACTCCATAGGACTTGGGAGTACTTTTTTTTTTTTATTTTGTCAATAAAATAATAATTTTTATTATATTATGTTTTATAAATATGATATATTTTATACATTTTTAATTTAAGATCACAAAAAAATTTTTAAAAAATAATTTACTCTGCTTAGGGGTGTTCACGGTTTGGATAAAAACCGATCCAAACCAAAAAATCGAACCAAAACGATAAAATAAAACCGATTTTATTTGTGTTTGGTTTGGTTTTAGATTTTTCGAAAATCGATAGTATTTGGTTTGGTTATGATTTTATTCGAAAAAACCGAAGAAATAACCGAATCAATGAATTATATACATATATTTTATTAATATACATACTTAATATATTGTTTTTATAAACAATTTTAAAGATCTTATACATATTTTCATTAAAATTTCTTTATAATTTACTTATTGAAAGCAAAAATGTCCAATATGAAAACATTTATCTTATTGATTTCAATATGAGTGCTTATGACAATTCTTTGTGGAACTGAAAATGTTATTGTCTCTTCCCTCTAGGCCAATATAGTAAATTTTAAAGCTTTATTGATAGTAAATTTAGTGATTGAAAGTTTAGTAATTTAAGTCATTCTAACTATTTTTCGTTTTGAATGGATTGTTGTCACTTTTTTCACATTTTGAATGAATTGTTTCTTTTATTTTTGTGTATGATTAATTACCGAACCAAACCAAACCGAAACTGATAACCACCAAACCGATAAATGTATATTATATTTGGTTTGGTTTGGTTTTGATAATTTTAAAACCGATTAAGTTGGTTTGGTTTTGGTTTTGACCAATAACCGATCCAAACCAACCCGTGAACACCCCTAATTTTGATTTTAATTTTGACCAATAACCGATCCAAATCGACCCGTGAACACCCCTAACTCTGCTTATGAAAAATAATTTCTGCTCTTGTGTAGAAATTATTTTTAAAAAAAAATCTCAACTCTCTAAACTAAGTAAAAAAAATGAAAGAAAAAAAACATTATTAATTTCTAAAAAATTGGCCAAACAAATTATAAAATCACTTTATATATTGTACATGTTCTTGCAAAAAAAAAAAAGAGGCTAATTGAGTATTGACTTGTTCAACATATTAGCATGAAAGGACTTAAGAGTAGACCAAAGTGTCATGAATCACAAAGAAAGGTTGTAGTGTAATAAATGAGATTGTCTCGAGGTTTTGATTTAGAAATTTAAATATAGAAATTTTTTTGATAAAAAATATTTTTTCCCAAATGAGTATGCCTACACAATACGTACTTAAAATCAGTCGAGCTTTAATATAGATACTGAATTGTGAATGAAAAAACAAAAACTAAAGTGTCATAAATGTTTAGTCCAAGGAAGACTTCAAAAGTCAAGAACCATAAAAATGGGTTATAAACGAAGTGAGAATTTTCTAAAGGATTTAGTCTACACGTTTGAAGTATTTAATTTTCTCTGGAGGAAATTTTTATATAAGATTATTATTGATTAAACAAAAAACACATCATATTATTTCTCTCTTCCTCCATAGCTTTTTGAAACCATGAATTACAAAGCATTCACTTTGATATTGTGTGTATTAATTTTTTGTCTATCATCAACAATGGCCTCTCGAAGAATATTATCAGGTTTTATCTCTTTGCTTTTTTGATTGATATATAAAATATGATTATTAGAAAAAAAATATTTACTATTTATAGAATAATAATTCTTGTTTATTGATAAAAGCATAAAGATCATTTCTATTATAAGGTGGAGAGTTTGATTTTTCCAATCAACCTATTCGCATAAATAAAACTCTTTCAAAAAATTATATATTTATCCCTTCACTTTAATGTATTTTAATTTTTTCCCCTAAATTTTCAGTTGAAGGAACTAAACAAATTCATTAGTTTAAGATATACCATGTTGAGAATTCTCATTAGTACGATGGCATTTAATTTGGACTAATAAACAGTTTTTTGTTGTAAAATTAAAGTAAAATAAGACAAACAAATATAGAAGATGAAAGCAATAGAAATATTGTTATATAAGTAATATTTTATAACAATTTTTTTGTCAATTTTTTTGCTTTATTCTTGTTTTCTTGTTCCGTTTATTGTAATGGGTTTTACTTTTAATTTGAGTTATCGCGTTTCAGTTTTCAATATGAAAAAATGTCTTCAGAAAGCATATTTGAAATTATAATCAAGCATAAACTATTACCCTAGATCAACAAGTCTTTTTAAATTAATAAGTATAATACAAATTGCTATCATATATATATATATATATATA